TAAAATTGTGAGCCCCAATTTTGCTCTGCTTTCCATAAAAGCTGAAGAGAGGTATGAAATTTTCTTGGAAATAATTGTTTATATTCAGGATCTGATGATTGGTGAGGCTTGCACTGAATTGCGGCAAATGCTTGACACGACCTATCCTATGGAGAACGGAATTGTTCGCAACTGGGAGGATATGGGTCACATCTGGGACTATACGTTTGGGCCAGAAAAGCTGGATATTGACCCAAAAGTGATTACTTTTTAAAATTTTCATTCTGTAGTCTTTTTGACTCTAAAAGGCTACTCATCTTGCAGGTGCATATATCGTAACTAAATCGTAGCAGAGCGTTAAAAGTAGGATAATAATGCAGTTTTCAGATGTTAATAAAGTTATTCTGAAATAAGACAGCATGATGTTCCAATTTGTTCAAAATAAAAAAGGAAAAAGAAATGAACGATTTTTAGTTATTGAGGAAAAGTTTTTGAAATTTTACTGCTTTGCATGTTAAAAGTTTTCTAATACGCTTATTTGGCAATTTGCGGCTCTAGATGGTGTGTTCAAGATCGCTTTTAATCTCTGTTTTATAATAGGTGGAGGTCTTTCAAATAGTTTTTCAAATTACTGAGGCAGAAAAATAGTCTTTGAAATTTGGCCGAATAATGAACGCGTTTTGGTCAGTAAACTTTAGATGCTATTCATTAGTTATAATTTACAGGAATGCAAAATATTACTGACTGAACCTCCCTTAAACCCAAATAGCAACAGGGAAAAGCTGTTCCAAGTAATGTTCGAGCAATATGGGTTTCATTCGATATATGTGGCAGTACAGGTTCTTTTCATTTCTATTGCAATCTATGCTCAACTTAAAAAATCATTTGAGGTGCAACCGTTTCAAATTTAAGAGGTCAAATATATAACAGTAAGTAAAGCTTAGATTTAACGCGGCATGGAGAGGCAGTATTAAAATTATTTTTCACATTAACAGCAGCTTTTATTGAGACAATTGTTGTAGCAAAAGTTTTTAATTTCACAAATTGCTGCAGACTAGTCATTTTAGTTGTAAAAAGTTTTCTTATTGTTTTGCAGTTTTTTAATTTTTTTCACGGGTTAGTTTCTTTAGGTTTACGTTAACTAATTTTGTTTTTACTTGTTGTTTTTTTATTTTGGCTTTTCAGGCGGTGTTGACGTTATATGCACAAGGTCTATTAACTGGTGTAGTAGTAGATAGTGGGGATGGTGTTACTCATATCTGTCCTGTATACGACGGTTATTCTTTAAATCATTTGACGAAAAGATTAGACATAGCCGGTCGCGATATTACGCGTTATTTAATTAAGGTAGCAGTCACTTGAGCTTGCTTTGACTTTTACTGTACTTGATGAGTTTGCTGAATTCTTTGGGTTTCTTCTGCTCTTTTTTATTTATTTTGGACGGTTGTATGAATTTGGCCGATCACGCCCTTGTGTAACTACACAGAAAAAGTAGTGAATGCGTTCTGTTTATCTGAACTCGTGTTATTTTTAGCTTCTGCTTCTTCGTGGTTATGCCTTTAATCATTCTGCCGATTTTGAAACCGTTCGGATGATGAAGGAAAAATTATGTTATGTTGCCTACGATGTAGAACAAGAACAACGGCTTGCACTTGAGACAACTGTACTTACCGAGCCATTTACGGTTAGTATTCATTACTGCTAAGTTATTCATTGATCAGAGTCATTTTCTGCATACTGCTTTCTATTATGTTGGAACTGTTGATTGAATCAGGCCTTAAAACTTTGGGAGAAATTTGCTTGGAGCATTTTATTCAGTTGAATTCGCAATTCTATGCTGAGAATCTGTGGTATATTTCACTTCACTAACACTAATTTTGAATGCTCTCCTTGCTGTAGCGCTAGCGTTTGTGCTGTTTTAGAAGAGAACCAAATTGTAATTTTGGTTATTTGAAGTTTTTGGCGTTTTAAAGTGACAAAACTTAATTTCTCTTATCCGTTTAGGTACCGGATGGGCGTGTTGTTCGTGTTGGTGGCGAACGTTTTGAAGCCCCAGAAATTCTTTTTCAGCCCCATTTGATAGACGTGGAGAGGGCTGGCTTGAGCGAAATGCTCTTTGGTGTTATACAGTCTGCAGATATCGGTTCGGTTATGGTTTTATTTTTTATTTTCTCTTTAAGTTATCTTTTAATTTAATTATGTATCTTTAAGATATAAGGCTAGAACTTTACAAACATATCGTTTTATCTGGTGGAACTACTATGTACCCTGGTTTACCAAGTCGTCTGGAAAGGGAATTAAAACAATTGTATCTTGAACGCGTGCTTAATGGAAACACTGAAGCTTTTCAGGCAAAATTATTTTTCGAATTTATTTATTTAATTATTTTTTTTCTTTACGTTACCTTATACTTTATCTTTGTCTTTCACCTACCCTGTTCTGTACTATTTTTGCTTCTATTTATTTTATTTTGGATTATATCAAACTTTTAAAGAACTATTTTTTGCTGGATTCATTTTCTTGGTGGAGAAGAGAATAAAAAAATTTTTCCAGAATATTTTTTTGCTTAATATTGTGGAACTTTTGTTTTAGAAATTCAAAATTCGTATTGAGGCTCCGCCTCGTCGAAAACATATGGTGTTCCTTGGCGGTGCTGTTCTCGCAAACTTGATGCGTGACAGAGATGATGTTTGTTTTTTAAATGTCTTTTTACTTGCTTACTTTTTGAGGCCGCTTTCGAATTGACAAATTCCAATGCGCTTTTAGAAATACAATCACAAGTTATTGGGCGGAGTTTTTTTTACCAAGTTAGGTATCGTTGAAATTTTTATGTTTCTTCTAAATCTGGATTGGGGAGTGTTGAATAAGAGACCACTACTAGTAAAATTAAGTAGTTTCCTTCTAAAAGAGTGTCAATCAAATTTGTCAATCATTTAGGATTTCTGGGTTTCGAAGAAGGATTATGATGAAGGCGGTTTAGCACGTTGTATGAAAAAGTTAGGCGTGAAATGAACGTTTGTCTCTTCTTCGTGCTCGTCACCACTCACGTCTTCGCTGCACTACATGTGTTTGCTTCTCTGAAATAAAATTTTAATTATTTCTATTATTAATAGAGAGCTTTAAGCCTAGCTGTCTTTTAATGTAATTAAGGATGAAATGCTACTTTGTTCTTTATGGGTTTGCATTTACGATCAAGGCTTTATTTGTTGTATTATGCAGTGTAAGAATTTTCAGTTAGATTATTTTTTTATTTATTAAAAGTGACTTTATTCTAAGCTCAGTCTCTGCTAACCAAACTCTTTCAAAAAATTTTTAATTATTAAAGTTTGTGGGCTTTATTCATGATAAAAAGAGGAACTTGTCTTTAGTGAGCAGTACTTAATTTGACCTGCACAATGAGAGAGAAGTAAGTGTAGGTGTTGTGCTCGTGTCTTTTTTCACTTTTCAGTGGTTTAAGGTTTTTGTTCTTAATTTATTTGTTGTTTTTGAAGTTTGAGATTCCAATAGTTATTTTTTGGAACTCTGATAATTTTCTAGTTTTTATTTGGATGGCCTTGTTTTGTCCTGAAGGTTCGCTTCTTTGCCTAGGGTTTTACCCTTGGAACTGTTTTCTTGGAATTGTTTTCTTCCAAATGCTACTATTTTTAAAAGATCTTGAAGTGAAAGATTTTATTTATAAAAGCACTAAGTAAGTTTAAAGTGTGTTTTTGTTATGAATGTTTTTTTCGACCATTGTCTTTAGTTCCTACATATCATCTATTTATTTTGCTTTCTTATCGTGATTTTTTATTTTGTGTCATATTATGATTTCGTCGATTGTTGTTCTCGAAAGTGTTTCAATTAGTATTCTGTTATCAGTTTGTTCAACCGTTGATTGAGCTAAATAAACAAAGTTTTTAGCTGCGTTGACTCTGGTGGCTGAAAAAGAAGTACCGCTTGCAGTTGAGCAAGGATGTGAGCTAAATTGAGTTGTCTTTATTTTAGAGTGGTAAATAGCTGCCAGATTTCCTGTACCAGTTGCATATTAAGGTCGAGACGGGAATCCTCGGAATTCTGCTCTGCCGGCTGCTTCTTTGCTGCCTTTTAGGTTCATAAGAAGATTGTTTTTTTCTGGTATTTTATGTAAGAGACAAGTTGGTTACAAGCTTTTCAAGTCCTAGTTAAAATTTTTTGGATATAGAGAGATGTCTGAGTCAATTGTGGCTTGAAACAAACTTTTTGGCCTCTTGTTCCATCACTGTTGGGCCAGCTACGGAGTAGCATTGAGCGGATGGTCGAGTTGGCGTCAGCGGCAGCGGAAGGGTTTTCGTTGAAACACAGCACAGTGTCTAGTAAAGGTTCCTAGTTTAGTTGTCAAATGCAGTGGGTTTTAAAAGTCTTGTTTAGTTGGCTACGGAGCAGTTTTGTTTGTTGATGACGTTATCCGCCTGTTTGGATACCACTGTCTTCACCTATGATGGGACTATAAGCAAAAAATTTTAAGTGGGTGATTGTAGTTGCCTGTAGGACATGAGTAGGTGAGAAGATAACGTTTTTGTATAGATTTATAGTTTGCTCAGATTCCTGGTATAGATTATACTGCACTTAAGTGAAAGAAAATACACTATGGTCTACTTAGTTGTAAAGTCTTACTGTTTTTTTTGCTGGAATTATCAAATTGACTTGTTGTATATATTTTTTTTCCTTGTATGCGTGATATTAAAACTCTGTTGATGCTAACTGTGGGGATCATGTTTTCTCAACAATCTGTTTGTTGTACAATAGTTTTTCTTTTGAATTTCTTTGCTGCTGTTTGTTATCAGGTGGCTCAGTAGAAAGTTCAACTGAAGTTTCTTAATTTTAAAGTGTTTTACGAACTATTCTTTGGGCGGTGTAGTAATACCATAGTTTGTTTAATAGTGATAATATTTAGTAAATTACTATTTGTCTTTTGCAAAAAATTTCATCTATTTATCAAGAAGGCTGAGGAATTTCTACAGCGATTACCAGGTGAACACGGAAAATTTTTACAATTTTGAAGGAAAATTTGTATTTACAGGACGGAAATTTGTTGGTATTTTTGGGTTATCGATTATTACCAAAAAGAAGAAAACGCTAAAAAACGCATTTTTTAGAGCTACAGCTTTTTTGAATTTACTAAAAGCATATCACTGGTGATGACCAATGCGTTTTTTTTCCACTTCCTTTCTTACCATGGCATTTTTGTTGAATTCACTGCAAAATCCATCTTTTTGATATCATACGCATTTTGTTCCTCTGATTTTTTTTTTGGCGAAAACTTCGGCTTCTTTTTTCCTTCTATTTTTTCTTTTTTGAAAGCTTTTAAAGCTTCTATTGCGGCTAGAAGGACTAATGAATAGAGGTTGAAAAAAAAGAATTATGAAAACAGCAAACAAACAACATTTATCGATATCTCAAAAGTAAAATTAATTGGTGATAATAGGATAATAGACAAAAAGATGAAGAAATTTTTCTGTTATTTGGTGAAAAATTCAAATGTTTTGCGAAACTACTCATTCTACTATGCATTTTAAAGTAGCAGGTGAAATAGCCCGACTGCTCTTCTCTTCTCCTTTTCGTCGCCGTCAACAATTTAGCAGATAAAATGCGAAGCGAAATAAGTGACAATTTGTGAAGCAAAATATTTCATCTTAAAACCTTTAACAGCTTTGAAGTTTGTTTGGTTTGGTTGTTCAAATGATTACTGAGTAGTTTGTTCCACAGGTAAAATGGGAGGAAAATGAGTTTATTAAAGGGGTTTATTGAAATTAGGATGAACGTAAGTGTACTGTGCGAAAAGTCTACATGAAAATGAGAAAACGATTATGTAGGTAACGATGTTAGCTTGAACTGGCGTAGGAGCCGAAAGGTGGATGATGTAATTAGTAGAAGTTGAGACTTGGACAGGAATATACGTTTGCATACTTACACAGAAAGAGGGAGAATATGAACCTGAGCATTATTGCAGGCGCGAGAATGGTCATAGGAGTAGTAATATCGATATAGAAATGAAAAATAAAGTGGATATTGAAACCATCGTTTGCATAGATTTGATTGTGATCTAAGACATCAGGGTAATCACGAAGATGAAAAAGAATATGGTTGTGAGCATAAAAATGGCAGGAAATGAAAGTCAGGAAGAAAGCGAGTATAAATACCAATATGAGAATATGGAGACAAGCATGAGTATAAACATTAAGTCTGTTGAAAAACTGAGATTGTTTAGGCATTCTGACAAACTGTTGCCAACATTCAGGCCAATGCTGACGGTTTTGGTTTTATAGCTGTTGCCGCTCCTCAGTCTCCAGTTTCTGTTCTCACAAAGATGAATGAAATAATAAGAGTAGGAACGATTGCAAAAGTGGTGCTCTGAAATTAATTGTTATCACTTCGCTGATTGTTTCACGAAATTCAAGATTATACGGATGGCGATTTGTCCTTTTATGATAAGTAAATGCGCGGACCTTTGCTGGTAAGCAAAACTTTCTACGCTTTTTTCACCACTTTTGCTACTCTTTTTGGTTCTTGCTAAGGTCTCTATTATAATGATTTTTTGAGTTGCTTTATTTTACCGTTATTTCTTCTTAATTGCTGATAGCTTAAGATTTTAATAGATTAATTTTATTGATAAACTGTACCATTTTTAAAATATGGTCGGAACTGTTATAATACTTTGTACTTGTCCTGCTTTTTTCCACTTTAGATATTCGCGTATCGTCATTAGCAGCAGCACAGTTTGCCGTAGCAGTTTTTACTTCTTAGATTTTTATAATTGATATATTGTCATCACATCAACAATATTTAAAGCAAAATTAAGAGTATATTTACTGCAATTCGTTTGTAGACATTATGTTTGCAAATATGAAGTTGTTTAAAAGACGGAAGCGACGGCAATCCATTGACAGTGACATTGGAGGGAAGGGACGGGATAGAAAGCCAAAGAAGTTATAAGAAATATATGGAAGTTGATCACCGTTACAAAGCTCAATCATATTTGAAAATTGGTTTTCTGTAGTCGTTTTGACGTTACAAACGGAATTTTCAGTCACTGGGTGTTTTTTTTTTTTTTTTTTTTAGGAGGTTGATACCAAATTAAAGTTAAATTCTCTTTTTGATGGCAAATATTTAGTGGAGATGCTTGCTGCTAGAGGATTAATTTTATATTCAAAACTTTTTTCAGTGGTGATGAGCGATTGTTTATTTTTCTTGACTGTTTCATTATATGCCGAGTATTATCAGTCACCTAATTATTGGTTTCTAAGACCACAGTGATTCAAATTTTCAAATCTTATTTCTATTTGAAATATTAAGTGACCTGTAAAACATGCAATATGTGCCTTATATCTTTCATCTCTCAATTATTTATTTACAGGTGCAAAAAAAAAAAAA